CCTCTTTATTTGCTGCCATGCAATATGTCCTTCTGAAGGGACCGGCCCCTCCTGATCACATGCCCAAAGTACTTGAGCTGAAGCCTTGCCATCCTGGCTTCCAAGGAGCATTCTGGCTGGACTTTGCCCAAGATCGATTGGTTCCTTCTGCTGGCTGTCCATGGAACATTCCGCAGTCAACATCCTCCCTGCAATTCAAAGGCCTCCATCCTTCTTGTCCTCTGTTTCCTGCTCCAGCCTTTGTATGCATGGAGCTACTGAAGAACAGGGCCTACCTTTCCCTCCAAGTGCCATCTCCCCGTGTGGCTGTTGTAGCCCTTAACAGAGATCGTTTGCTGCGGATTTGCTCAAAGTAATGTGTCCTTTGATTTCTTGAACACTTCTTCCACAGGTACTGACTGCTGATCCATGTGGCATGAATTCCTTGACCACTTCAACGTCTTCATCGTTGATCATGTGACCAGATTAAGATGATCCAAAACAAACACAAAGGTGCAGTCTCGGAAGGGGCATCTGACCTAAAGCCCTTTGGACCAACCTCAACAGGTGAGGCTTAAATGGGAGAACCCTGGTGAAGGATCCACGTGTCACCGGCACATAGCAAACCCCCACTGCCATCGGGTCATTCTGACTCGCAGTAACCCTGCTGGATAGAGTAGAGCTGGTCTATAGGATTTCTACAGACCTTGAACTTAGCAGCCCAGTGCTCAGCTCACTCTCCTGAGGAGCATACAAATAATAAGGCAACATCAGCACCAGCCACCAAGGCATCAAAGGCCATCACCCAATGACCTTCTTTTGTCTACAGTTGCTCTTCCTCATGGACACTTCATGGATACTGCGTCCCGGTGGCTTCCTCTGAGCTTAACTGGTAAAAACCAACAGGCTCTAAATCAGCCAGTGAGCTGTCCTGTCACCCGGTGACAAAGGGGCTTGGATGATTTAGGACAGAATATTCCTTTCTCCATAATGGCTCTAGGAGTTGCCAGGAATAGTACATTTGCTAAAATTAATGGCAAAAGCTCATTTTTCTTTTCTTTCTATTTTTTCCCCCAAGAAAGAGACAGGCCATTGGTGGGGTAATTGAAGCCAGTCTAGATGTGCCCAGGAGCTGGCTGGGATGTAAATCATTTGCGCAAGACAACTCACCGCCCTTTAAACCAACACTGGCGGTGACAGATGCTCCAGGCTGAGGACAGCCAGAGCGAAGCGAGGGGTAGAGATCCATCAACATCTACCTCACTTCTAGTCACGTGTCTGGGTCTCTCCCAGGAAAGTCATTTATCCAATGTACTAGCGGAACGGAACTGGGCAGCGTGGCATAACTGGGATAACTTTCGAGATGGACATACCTGATCTAATCCAACGCGACCCACTACCGTCAAGTCCTTGCCGACTCATAGCAACCCTGTAGGACACAGCAGAACAGCCCCTGTGGGTTTCTGAGACTGAATCCGTACAGAAGCAGAACAGCCTCATCTGGATCCTGTGGAGTGGCTGGTAGGTTTGAACCATGGACCTTTTGGTGAGTAACCCAACACCAACCCATTGTGCCATTTATCTCAGCTCTGCCACTCTTCAACTCCGCAGGCCTGGGCAGGGCCTCTTCATGCATATCTGCACCTCCTTGTCCTCGTCTATAAACCGGGGCCTGTGCCCTCTTCCCAGCCCTCTTAGCCCCAAAAACACCAACATCGCTCAGAGAGAGAGGCGTTAAGCTCAGAGACAGGCATCCAGACTATACAATCAGAACACAGAGAGAGATGCACACCCAACTCGAAATGCACATGCCAGTGCTGTGCTGTGATTCTGTGTCACTCTCACTGTGATGTCCAGATGGGGTTAAACGGTCACCTTTTGGGGTTTTGGGGATCTTTGAAGGTTCCAATCTAGGCCTGGGGATGGGGAGGAAGAGTAGGAGGAAAGTGGAGAAAGTCAGAGGGTGGGGTGGAGGCAGAGAACGGGGAGCAAGGAAAAGGAGCTGAAGACTGATGCTTGATCTGGCTGGGAGGCCTGGTGCCTGGCCAGTTAAAGGCACCATCAGAGGAGGAGAGAAGCCGGGCTGACTCTCACTGGAAGTCAGGGCAGGATGGAGGGGGACTCACTGCCTCAGGGGCAGGGCGACCCTGTCAATTGGAGGAAAGAGCCTGCCTCTCTCCTGGGACTCTGGGGATCAAAAAGCTGCCAGTGAGGGGGTCTGCACTTGGTCTGAGAGCCTCAGTCTCTGCCTGGTTCCCTTCACAGCCACCCAAACTAAAGTGGACAGGGTGACCCAGCCAGAGGGAGGCAGCAGCTCCAGGGATATATGTGCCTCAGGAGGGCAAGCTGGTGGTAGTGGTGGTAAGGAGAGTGATGGGTTTACAGACCTCAGGGAAAGGAGCCCAGTGGTGCTATGGGTTAAGCATTGGCCTGCTAACCACAAGGTGGGCAGTTCAAACCCACCAGGAGAAAGTTGAAGCCCTCTGCTTTCATAAAGATTTAGTTTCTGAAACCCTCTAGAGGGCGGCTAGGTGTCAGGATTGGTTCCATGGCAACAGTTTGTGGTTTGGGGGGTAGAGGGAAATTCTGGTGATGCAGTGGTTCAAGCACTTGACTGCAAACTGAAAGGTCCTGGGTTTGAACCCTCCAGCCCTTCCTCAGGCGAACGATCTGGCAGTCAGCTCTCCTAACGATTCTAGCCCTAGAAACCCCAGGAGGAGGTCAACTCTGCCCTCTAGAGTCGCTATGAGTCAGAACGGACTTGGTGGCAGTGGTTTTTCCGATCTTTACCAAAAGGGACCTGGTGGTGCAGTGGATAAAGTGCTGGTCTATTAAGCAACAGGTCAGCGGTTCGACCACCAGCCCCTCTACAGTGGAAAGAAGAGGCTGTCTTTCTGTAAAGATGGACAGCTTTAAAACCCCAGGGCACAGTTTCCTTTTTGTCCTACAGGGCCGCTTTGAGCTGTAGCATATGGGAGGAGGATGGCTGACGCACAGAAGCTGTGAACTTTCCCAACAAGGGCTCTGTGGCAGTGGACAAGGGGCTGCAGGGGCAGGGGCACAGGTCACAGAATCTCAGATCTGGAGTCTTGGGCTTGCCAGGGCTTATGAGGATAAGGTGGCCAGGCCTTTCTCCCTGGTGCTCTGTGATCCCAAAGGTACCTGTTCTCAAAAACATTCCCTGTCTGATGGGGAAATCATCCCTGGGGCAGAAGCCATGTTTAATCCTGCTCTGCCCAGGCAAAGCATTGCTCAGTGGCTAACAGAAAAGATCACAGCTCTGAGAAGACCTAGATCTGAGTTCTTTCTAGCGTGATTCTTCAGCAAAGAAATGGACCATCCTGAGTGCCAGTCCAGAGAGCTGATAGCTGCCTGCCTCAGTTTCCCCATTTGTAAAAGGAAGGTAGGGTGAGTGCTTACATCATGGCCTGGGGGGAGCATTTAAGTGAGAACAATTCAAGCCAGAGCCTGAAGCAAAGTGAGTTGTGAGCATTGGCTGTGTTTTCTTGTTGGCCCAGTGAAGGACAGCTCTTCTAAGCATAGCCTTTGAAATGACTTGGTGGGGAGTCTGCTGTGGGGACCGGTTGCTTTTGCTCTCCTGCTGGGTTTCAAATGAGCCATCTTATAAGCAGGAACTGGGAGTGGGGGAGACATCCCACAGCCACTGAGGAAAAAGAGAGCTGCAAGCGGAGCGCATCCTTTGGCCCCTGAGATCCCCATGCTGAACCTTTTCAATCCAGGGAACCAAGGGCTGTAACATCGGGAAAGAGGGAGCAGCAGAACCAAGGGCCCAAGTACAGCACTGGGTTTCCGTGCCCACAGAAGGAGCACAGCTGAGTGCCTCTGGGCAAGAGACTCAAAGGCTCCGGGCTTTTAATCTGAGGACCAAGGGGTAGCAAGCCATAAACGTAGAGTCAATCACTTGTGTGATGAAGCTTGTAGCAGAGTGGTGTGCCCTATGGGCATTTATCGGCAGCACTAAAGCAGATTTGCAACACATACCCAAGCAAGGCAGAGGCCAAGGAGCCCTTGTGAGGTAGAAGCTAGAGAGACAGATGCCTGTGTGCACGGCTAAGGGAAGTTGCTCCTGACCAGAAGAATTGTATCCTGAGCATTTTGATCCTGAATAGTCCCTTATTTACTCCATTAATAAACTCCATCAGCATGAGGATGGTTTCCTGAGTTCCGTGAACCTGTTACAACTGATTTTTAAACTTAGCAGAGAAGTAGAGTACCAGGGGAGGGGCAGTTGGTACCAGAACTGTTGAAGAAAAGTGGTGGGTGGAGGCATGTCCAACCTCCATCTCAGGGCTGTTGCTGATTGTCAACACTTTATACTCTTTATGCTCCCCAAATATCTCTGATGCTGAGTAGATATTCCCTTTGACAACTTATCTTTCACGAAGCCTCAGTTTCCACATCTGTAACACGGAGCTAACAAACCTGACTGTAGGGTAGTTGTGAGGGTAATAGGAGATGATGCCTGGTAAGACCTGGTATAAGGGAGACCCTCAATAAAATGCTGACCCTGCCTCTCTTCCTGCGAGTGGAATGTGGGGGCAGGACAGGAAAGGAAACCTGGGGCCAGGGACATAAATGTGCTTGTGGGCAGTGGGAAGGCCATTGGTCCACTGGTGGGGTGCCAGCTAATGATGGGTCAGCATCACAGCCCTTCTCATTAGGCTTCTCCTCCTGTCCACTGCATGCAGGCCATTCCAACTCAGCCACTCGCCAAGACAGAGTCGAATGCCCCACACAGTGCCCAAGGCCTTCCACAGGTCTTTGTGGGAACAGCCAACATTCCTTTGCTCTCATGGAGCCCTTAGTGGGTTCAAACTGCTGACCTTTCCCCGGGAGGTCCAGAGCTTAGCTCACTTTACAACAGGGTTTCTCTGGCTTATCCTTCATTGCAACCTCTTCCCAAAGCCTTTTCACCCGAAGACTTCCACGGTCGAGGAAGGGAGGGGGTCCCCCTCGCCCCAGAGCGTGAGCCAGCATGAAGGTCAGACCGTCAGACTCACCAGCTTCAAGCAGCGCCGGCTTGCCTCCACCTCTCGTTGTGCCAGCTCCTCCATGTCCGCCTTCAGCTCCTCCAGGCGCCGCTGGTAGTACTGGCTACTCTCCCGCTGCCGGGACTCGGAGGCTGCTGCCCATGCCAGCTCCTCACCCATCTTCATTAAGCTGTCACGCAGCCGGATCACCAGGACCTGGGGGGCAGACGAGGCAGGGGACACGTGCCCAGCTTGGAACCTGAGGCTCCAATGGAGAGACCCTTGGGATTGCATATGGGAATCGTAGCCAACCACACTGGTGATACAGAGACCAAAATTCTTGCCACACACGGAAATTCCTGTTGGCCCTTCTGAGTTGTGGTTGTCTGCTGGAATAGCTCTAGAAAGAGAGGCTGGGCCGGCTCAGCACGGAGGAAGAGAAGCCTCGTAATCTAATTCTATTGCAGTAGCCAAATCAAACAACAACCCTGTTGTCCTTGAGTTGAGTTTGCCCCATGGTGACCCTATGTGTAGGGCGGCTCTATGGGGCTTTCAAGGCTGTTCTTTTTGTGGTAGTATAAGCTTTTCTTCCGTGACACCCTAAGTGGACTTTAAACACCACTTGAGGTTAGTGGTTGACTACCAGCCATGTGTGCCACCTAGAGACCTTCCTCCCAACTTTAAAAGTCATAATGAACCCCTATGCTGGTGAGTTCAATCCTGGCTCCTAGCAACCCTATAGGACAGAGGAGAACTGCCCCATGGGGTTTCTGGGGCTGTAAATAAATATAGGAGCAGGCAGCCTCATCCCTCTTGCTTGGAGCAGCTGATGGGTTTGAACAGCCAACTTTGAGGTTGGCAGCCCAAATATCAATACACTCTGCCCCCAAGGTTCCTTCACGATGGATCCAAAATCAAACTCACTGCTATCAAGTTGATGTTGACTCAAAATGACCCTATAGGACAGGGTAGCATCCCCCGTGGGTTTCTGAGATTGTAACTCTTAACAGGAATAGAAGGCCTCCTCTTTCTTCTTTGTAGTTGCTAGTGTTCCAACTGCTGACCTTGTGGATTGCATCCCAAACAGAAACCATTACACGAGCACATGAGTAAATAGGGATGGACAGAAAGAAGTGGACAGGTGGATGGATAGTTGAATTGTGGGTGGGCGGTGACTGAAGAAAGGAGGGAGGGAGAGATGGAAGAACGGAGAGGAGAAGGGAGGGCACTCAGATGGGAAATGGATAAAGTATGTCCAGATATGAACATAGGACTAGAGAGATAGATCGTGGAAGGAAAATAGAGCTTATTCAATACCCCTCCCCTCCACTCCTCTGAGCAGTGTTATTGTTTAGTTGCTGTTGAGTGAACTGCAAATCAGAGCAACCTCATGTGACAGATGGGCCTCCGAGGCCACCATCTTTAGGAGAGCTCTTCCTTCAGCTCGTATCTACAGCCAGGTGGGCTTGATCACCCAACCTTTAGACTAGCAGCCAAGTGCTTCAACATGGCCCCCCACGGCTCCTCATGCACATCAGTAAGTACCTCGAATCGCTTGATCTGCACTTTCTGGAACTCTGTCTTGTTTTCCAGGTCACAAATGACTGCCTCCTGCCGGCTGACAATGGCTCTGTCCACAGTGGATTGCTCCAGGTGCTGGATGTGCATCTGGGCCACCTGCAACTGGGGAGCAAACCCAAGAGGTTCACTGACCACCTGTTGGCTTAGGATCCCAGAACACAGACCCTTGCAGGACCAGCTCTGGGCCCGTGGCCACCACCTCATTCTCTGCTCAGGCGTTGCCTGTTGGATGTCTACACAAGCCAGTGCTGCTTGGTCCTCAGCGGAGGACACTTCCTGGGCCATCACAGCAGCTCCTGCCCCTAGGAGGCCTCTGCTGCTGGGAAGAGATACTTCTTGTGCCTTCAGCCTGCACGGCTGGCCTTCCAATCATATCTGCTCCTGCCTCCTTCCCACAGTGCAGGAGCACAGCCACTGGGCAATCAGAAATGGCAGCATCCGCAGCCAGGGGTCGGTTTGGGGACCGAACACACAAAGCAGGGTGCACAAATGAGCTCCAGCACTTCCTGCCTCAATGAAGGTGCACGGGTCAGCTTTCCTCCCCGAGCCTCAAGTGCTTTTCCGTCACTTGGAGGATTCCATGTGATGAGTGTATTGCATAGACTGTTATTGTTCCATTCCATCAAGGCAGCGATGACCCATACCAACTGGCCCAGAAGATTCCCAGGTCTTCCTCCCTCAGGCCACTCTGTGGGTTTGAGCCTCCAACCATTTAGTGAGCAGCCCAGTGCCTTAACTGATGTGCCACCAGGGACCCTTGGCACGGACTAAGAATAAGCACTCAATATATGGGACACCTGCTGCGACCGTTTGGGGCTGTAACTGCTGTGACTCAGAGCAGTTGCTGGAGACTTGGCCTCTCTGTCAGTCACATGCAGTGGATTGCCAAGTGCATTGAGAATGTCACAGATAATAGCAAACCTCTAGATAACGAGGGGATGTGCAAAAGTACTAGGACAGGAAAGACAGATCTCATGAAGGACCAAATCTCAGGGACCCTGCTCCTGTATCTGTGTCCTCAGAGGGAGAAAGCCCTGCACTGAGTGGCTGATGGGTCCTATCACACCAGGGTTTCTTTGGCTGCTGAACAGGCAGGGCCGTGTGTGTGTGTGTGTGTGTGTGTGTGTGTGTGTGTGTGTGTGTGTGTGTGTGTGT